CATGTAATCCCCTCAGCTCTGGGATCCTATCCCTACAGAACCAACTGTAGTGTAAGTTTTGAATTCTTTAAAAACACACTTATGTTATATAAATATGTTTTTGTTTTAATCCCATGTGTGGGATATGGGACTGTTTTAGTTTGTCCACATCTGATAATTGCCTTGTGCGGGGTGTGGTCTTTGCCAGTTGGTAACAGCCTGGTGTGACTTGGAGAGGACCATGGTCTTCGCCAGCTGGAGTTGGTGGAGTTCTGAGGACTCTGGGAGAGTACAAATACAAGAGCCAATGGGCTGGAGAAATGGCTCAGAGGTTAAAAAGCACTGCGGTTTTTCCAAAGGTCCTCAGTTCAATTCCCAGCAACCACATGGTGGCTCATAACCATCTATGATGAGATCTGGCACCTGCTTCTGGCCTGCAGGTATACATGTAGGCAAAATGCTGTATAAATAATAAAAATCTTAAACAACAACAACAACAAAAAATGAGAGCCCAGAGAGAGAGTAAGGGCTTTGAGATGGACAAACGGAGAGGAAGAAAGCTGCTTGTTTGTTCAGCTGCTGCTGTTTGCTGTTGCTGGACTGCTAGAAACCCAGACAACTGAGATTGGTATTGCCCCAAAATAACCCAATGACCCTAACCAGCAGGAACTAAGTCTAAAGTGGTCTGCGTCCCCTTCTTTCTCTCATACCTAGGATTAGGGAGTTGGAAGGGAGGTAGAGGCATAAGGACCCCCAAATGAAGTTTAAAAACGGCAGCAACAACTAAGGCTTTGCAAACCCTTGCTATTTAGCAAGGCTTCTGCTCTGCCTTCTGACCTTGAGCTTCTCACTGGCCCCCAGGCCTGGCTGATTACAAACTACCCAGATGCAGCCTTCTTTCCTGAGGTCTGAGCTGTACCTTCCCGTTGTTGTCTGTCACACATCTCCCGATTTTGATCCCTGACTCACCAGAAGAGCCAGGCCGTCAGAAGAGAGCACTCTGTATCCTGCTGGCTGTCTATGGGCCTCGTGGGGAAGGGGAAGGAGGGAGAATGGGAACAGAGGAACAGAAGAGGGGAGCAGGGATGGATACAGTGCCACTGCCACTGCTCTAGCTGCCACAACTGCTGCATTCGGAAGGAATGCCCTGGGACTTATGGGTAAAGGCTGAGACATATCCCCCTCCGACCTCTACCTCCTTAAACTACAAACCAATATGTAACACATGGAAGCTGTGGAGTTAAGGATGAGGTTGCTACAACCATGTTAATGAGGGACTGCTTTCAGAATCACCACAGTGAAACTCTTAACCAAGCCAGGCATGTATGAACCTCCTCTGCTACTCGTGACTGGAAAGACAACTTACCCCCTCTTTATGAAATGGACTGTGAGGTAAGGAGTTTCCCAATTTGGGTAAAAAACAAAGCACGTTACTTCAGTAATATGCAAATTGCTCTCACATTTAATACATGATGTTATATAGACACTACAATTTTTTCTGTTGCTTGAGAAGGTAGGGGTCTCATAACCTGTCCTTGAACTTACTGTGTAGACAAGCATGACTGTAAACTACCGATCTGTCTCTGTATCATGAGTGATAGAACTACAGGTATGTACCACAACTATGGACTAATGGATTGCTTTTTAAAAATTCAAGCACAAAGGGAGTCATGGATAGAAAGCTTAGGCCACCAGTTCTGTAACTAGCCTGGGCCAGTCTATTCTAGGATGAAATACTGTCAAAATTCTGTGTCTCTGTGTGGTACCAGTGGCTGAACCAAGGGCTTTGCATATAGTAGGCAAGCCCTTTTAAAAAGTAAACTACACCAGTAACCCGAAAACCCATGTGAGAAGATGCACAAGGGTATATATCAAGAGGTGAGCTGGAGGGAGGGGGACTGAGCGCACATGGCACAGATAAAAACAGATACAACTAAGGCAAGGTATCATGATTCATGCCAGTAAGCACAGAACTTGGGAAGTAGAGACAGAGAGCCTGGAGGTCAGCCGAGGCTACAGAATGAGATCACATCCTGAAGGACAGCGGAAGTTTGAGTCTCTCTATAAAAGAGCAGGTGTATTTAAATGTATTTATTTTAAATTTTTCTTAGGTTTATAAGTATTCAAATAAAAACTTGAGGAGCAAAGTTCAGAACTCTAATTCATGAGTAGGGCTTGCTGGGCCACAGCACTACAGAGGAGGCAGGACAAAAGAGTTTAGGCTAGCCAGGCCTTATGACACTGTCTAAAAACAAAGGGTGGTGGAGGTATTTTCTCCCTCAAAACTCCCCAGTTCTTTTGTTTTTCCTTAATATATCTATTCAGTGTACTCAAAAACAAAACAAATTCTATAATTCATGTATTTCAATGGAGAACCCAACTTTCTTTTTAAGTGTTTATTCATTTTAGGTTTTTTTTTTTTTTTTTTTTTTTTTTTTTTTTTTTTTTTTTTTTTTTTGAGACAGGTTCTCTCTGTAGCTTTGGTTGTCCTGGAATTCAGTTTGTAGACCAGGCTGGCGTCAAGCTCACAGAGATCAACCTGTCTGCCTCCCAAATGCTGGGCTTAAAAGCATGCACCACCACTGCCACCAGGCCTAATGTTTTTAAATTATGTGATTATGTGTGCATATATGTCAGTGCACGTATTCATGGAGGCTAGGGATGTCAGATTCCCCTGGGGCTGAAGTTACAGCCTATTTTGAGCCCTTGATATGAATGTTTGGAGTCAAATTCCAAACCTCCCCAAGTCAGTGTGTGTTCTTAGTGAATGAGTTTGAGCCCACAACCAATTCCTTACATTTTACTGAGACTTGCTTATTTAGGCAGGGGTGGTGGTGCACACCTATGTGTTCTGGATATAAACACGTTTTTGTTTTGGTCCCAGGTATGGGATATGGGACTGACTCAGATAGTCTACAGCAGCAGACTATTTGTGCCTTATGTGGGCTCTGAGGAGCTCTTTGGCAGCTGCAGACAGTTTAAATCTGAGGACTCTGGAGAGAGAATAAGTGCCAGAGCCCAGAGAATGTGGCTGAGAGAACGTTGCTCCTACTTCCGCTTTGCTGCTCCTGGTTGCTGTTGTGAGACAAGTTGGAGAGCTCCTGAAACAGGGACTGAACTGGCTCCAAGGAACCCAATGACCCTAACCAGCAGGAAGCCGCCAAGCGAAGTGCACCCTTTCTCTCATGAACCCTTTCTCTCCCCTATCTAGCATTGGGGTGTCAGAAGGGATTGGGGTGGAGTAGGAAGAAAAAGATAAAAGTATGCCAACACTTATGATCCCAGCATTCAGGAATGCTAAGACAATACCTTGAGTTCCAGAATACAGGGGCTACTCATCTCACAAACAAACAGACAGGTAACAAGAGGCTGGAGCCTGCTCTGCAGTGAGGAGTGCTTGCTGCTCTTGCTGAGAGCCTCGGTTCTCACAAACAAACAAACAGGTAACAAGAGGCTGGAGCCTGCTCTGCAGTGAGGAGTGCTTGCTGCTCTTGCTGAGAGCCTCGGTTTGGATCACGCTCACATGGTGGCTCACAACTGGCTGTTAACTGCAGTTCTAGGGGATCCCGCCTCTGTGGGCACCAGGACACAGGTGGCATACATATATACCTGCAAGCAACATACACACACAACAAAAACAAAACTGAAAAACAAAAATCTAATCTTTTTTTTTCTTTTTTAAGTAGCTGAGCCAGGCATGATGGGGTACACCTTTAATCCCAGCACTCAGGAGGCAGGGGCAAGCAAAGAGCTCCAGGCCAGCCAGGGCTACAGAGACCACCTTAAAGAAAAGTAACAGGGACTTGGAGACCTCATTGAGCAGTTAAGAGCATTTGCTGGCTCTTCCAGAGGTCCCTGGCAAGACTCCCAATACCAATGTGGCAGCACACAACCTTCTGTAACTCCAGTCTTGAAATCCAACACCCTTTTCTGGCCTCTTCAGGCACCATGCATACACATGGTACACACAGACATATATACAGGCAAAACACTCACACACGAAAATAAATAATTCAGTCAGGTGTGCTAGCGCATGTCTTTAATTTCAGCACTCAGGGAGACAGCACCATGCAGATCTTTGTGGGTTTAAGGCCAGCCTCTTCTACAAAGTGAGTCCCGGACAGCCAAGGCTACAGAGAGAAATCCTTTCTCAAAAACAAAAACAAAACGACAACAATAACAAAACAAAATAAAATCTTAAAAAAGAAAAGAACCTGAACAAATACATCAGTGGAAGGCCTATGTGATTCTCTGTGAATCCTCAGCACTTTTCAATCAACCACATGAGAAGCCACACAGAACACTTCAGAATAGGAAAGGAACACACGGCAACATGCAAAGCCTCTGCATGTGGAAACCATAAGAGCACAGCTTTAACATGTATCAGAATTTCTGGTTGTTTCAACCCAATACTTAAGAAGCAGAGGCAGGAGGATGGCCATAAGTGAGGTCAACCTGGTAGACACAAAGCTCCAGGTCAGCCAGAGCTAGATGGCAGACTCTGTATTGAAAAACCAAAAATAAATAGGAAACCATTTCTGATTTTACTTTTAAAAAGACTTCTTTTTTGACTTGTGTGTATGTATGTAGGGCACCTGCCAGATCCCCTGGAGCTGGAGTTACAAGCAGCTGTGAGCTGCTTGATGTAAGTTCTGGGAACTGAACACAGGACCTGTGGAGGCAGGAGAAGCAGTGGGTACTCTTAGTCACTGAGCCATTTCTTCAGCCCCCAACTTCTGATTATTTCAAGTAAGAGGTGCATATTAAAAAAAAGTTTACCTTACTGTGTATGTTTTTGTGGTGGCTGGAGGATAACTTCAAGGAGTTGGTCCTCTCCTTCCACCATGGGCATTGAACTCAAGTGTCAAGCTTCATGGCAGCTTAGCAGCACTGAGCTAACTCACCTGCCCAAGGTCCACATCCTTAGCTGCATGGCCACATATCTGCCACATATCCCCACATGATCAGTGAGTAATGGACACCTTGTAGGATGATTTATCAAAAACAGTCAACAAAACCTGTTCGCAGTCTGGGTTCACGTTTATTGAAGCCAGTAATTAGACATCATTTCCCCCAGCACTAGAAAGCAAGGTTCCACATGACTGCATACTGCACCCCGTAGAGCCACCCCTAAACTGAGGCTAGTTCCAGAGTATCTGCAGTCCTAGTTTTCCGTTAAAAACACCAATGAACTCAGCAGAGAGACGGCAGTGAACTTTCACTTACAGCATCGACATTGTTAAGGTCATGATGTACAGAGCAGTCACTTTCCACTTCATCAAGTTAGAAAACAGTCTCTTCAGTTTAAATACTGGTTTTAAAATGCCAAGGGGGAAAAAAAATAAAGGTACAGATGGGCATGGTAGCACTCTAAACCCAGAACTTGGGAGGCAAAGGCAGGTGGATCTCTGGAGGCCAACATGGTCTATAGAGTGAGTTCCAGGACATCCAGGGCAACACAAAGAAACCCTCCCTGTATTTAAAAAAAAAAAAAAAAAAAAGTGCAAATAAAATAAAAAATAATCTAGCAGCATATATGTTGGATTTTTACGAAAGACCAATTCCCAGCCCTCACTAAGCTATAACTTTTAGGTTGGGCTTACTTAAAATTATCCATTTAGAGGCAAACAGAGGTAAACACTACAATGTGTATAAATAGTCATAAAAGTCTTTTATAGTCTACCATACAAGTGTATTCTGCAAGTAAAATTAATTTTACTTTAGAAAGTAAAGGCTGTTTATTATTTGGCCTTTGGTTCCAATGCTTGAGAATCCTAAAATAACAAAAATTACCTCATCTCCTCAATCCCAAAAGAACCCTGAAGCTCCCCAAAGCTGGAAGACTTTGGCAACTCCTGACGGTGTGGTAACACGCCATCAGTTTCCTTTGAAACTAGGAGCATCCAGGTGTCAAAGGAATAACAGTGTCTCCAAGAAACCTTCACCAGACCAGTCCTCAGCACTTCAGTGGTTGGTTTTAGCACATCTGACATCAACACAAAAAGTGCTTAACCATTCAAATGCCGTATTTTAAATTTTGCATCAAAATTTAAACATCCCACTATTAGGCATGTATCTTTCCAAGAATTCCTTGTTTCTGAGGTCACTCATTCTGCCCTGGCTGCTAGAGATTGAGTGACCTTCCCTTTAGCGTGGCCACATGGCATCTATAGGTCACTACCTCCCAACTCCAGTCAGTTAACTGTCATCATCTAGACAACCTGGCAGTTTGAAGCCATAATGCATGTTTAAAAAAACAAAAACAAACCCCAAAATAACAACAAAAGAACTGAATTAAAAAAGGAAAAAAAATATATTTCAACAGTAAAACCGGCACAAGAAACATCTTTTTGCTGTTAGAGAGGCAATAAGCACTTAGCTTTCTCCTTAACAGTGTTCAGACCTTTACATAGCAACTCCAGACAGTCAAGGAGCCTCATCATCTAACTAGACGTTAACTTAGGCCCAGGACTACATTAGTGGTTAGTCAAATCTGGTATGTATGTAAAGTAATGACATTAGGGACACAATGCCGAGACACAATATAACAAACATTCATATAAAAAAAGTAAACTCCACGGAAGTGAACGGTGGTTTTTCCCCTTGGTTTGGACAACAAATATTTTATACATTAAAGTCATGGTAGTGTTTGCATTTATATGTGCGGTGTTACATAGAAAACTCAAAGTGCTATTTTCGATCCATAGAAGTCATTCTCATGATGGTGGTGTGACATGATGATGTCCATGAATATGGCCTTAAATGGAAGATACATAAACTCTCACTTCCATAAGAAAAGAAGTGCTATACTTTATGAAAACACAAGGCTACCACTTCCATTTTTGATGTAAAGCACTCACTTGTCAGTCTGAGAGCAATGATCTGGATAGTTAAAAAAAAGAACCTTTCTGTATCAGTGAAGGTTATCACAGACTCTAAGGCAGGAATTGGCATAAGCCAGTTAACCACAATAACATTACTTCTCCCAAACCTTCTATAGCACATTGTCAATATGGTAAAATGAGAGATCAATCACCCATTTTCTATTAGTTGGCCAGCCTGTGGTAGTTAAAAAGTTAAAACAAAACAAAACAAAACAAAAAAACAACACGAAGCAGGAGCTACTTAAAATATAGTCTTTTCTATCTGCTGACTTTGAACACAACCCACAACAGCTGCCTGCCCCAGGTGACATAAACACAGAGCCCAGCATCTCTCGAAGGACAAAAGCACATGGCCTTCACGTGGGTCCTGTGCAGCTACCACCTTCACCACTGCTGAGTCAGCTCCACCTTACTCAGGCACTCCACACGGAACACATTTCTCCTAAGTTAAGATGCCTTCAGAACAAGCTCAGTTCCCATTATGGTTAGTGCTTAGTTTGGGAAGGCTTCTAATTGTTAGGCCTTACACAGTGCTATTTGATGTCTACCATGCATGTACTTACTAACGCTGCTTGCTTCTCTTCCTCCACTTCCCTCAACGCTCAGCTTCCCCACCAGCACCTCTCTCATCCCTCCTGAACCTTCCTCTTTCCTCGACGTTCTTCTACTTAATCTGCTTCCCAAGAACAAGTGATTTGCCAACACACAACTGGTCAAACTAACCACCATCTGATCAATGACTTCCTAGTCTCCTCTGCTTCACCCTGATAGCAAATGGGCCTCCGTTCTCCACTCTACAAGAAGCCCAGCTGTGGCTGCTTCCCACAGGAGAACTGCAGCCCAAGAGCCCAAGGGACATCCCTAACAAGGGGCCTGACACGTAACCTTCCTAAAGGTGCGTTTCACACTCGGACAAGCCAATGAATTATATATATATATATTTTTTTTAAAGTTCATCTCCCCTACCCCAAAAAACTGATAGCATGTGCCATATCAGAAAATCCTGGTCTTATCAGATGAATATACATAGTTATTTGGTCATTTGACATATGCACTTCTAAAGGAGGGTCAGGCTTCATTTTCTGTTGAAGAGTTTGTAACCATGGAATCTGGCTTTCGAGTCATTCTATCCAGTTCTTCCTGAACGTTTGACAACACAGTCTTTTGTCCTTAAAAAAAAAAATGAACAAAAGAGAGAGAGAGAGAGAGAGAGAGAGCATAAAGTAGCAATGTGAGAAAAGTTTTTGTTTTTTTAAGAAAGGGTTTCTTTGCATAGCCCTGGCTGTCTTAGAATTCCCTCCATAAGCCAGGTGGGCCTCAAACTCAGAAACCCACCTGCCTCTGCCTCCCAATTGCTAGAATTAAAAGTATGCACCACTACCACCCAGCTCAAGAAAAGATTTTTAAAAAGCAGCACTGAAAGTCATACAGTCAAGTCCAGTGGTGGTGGCTCACTCCTTTAATCCCAGCACTCAGGAGGCAGAGGCAGGGGCATCTCTGAGTTTGAGGCCAGTCTGGTCTACAGAGCTAGTTTCAGGACAGCCAGGGCTACACAGAGAAACCCCTTCTTGAAAACCTAAAAATAAATTAAAATAAAACTGTACAGATTTCAGCTATCATTCCTAGTGACAGCATTTTTAAAAATGAGAAAACCCAAAACAAAACAAAAACAAAAAAACAAAAAAATAAACAGAAAAAGAAAAGCCTTTCACCAAGGATAATGAATCAGACCCTAACCTAGTTAATGCCAGTGTCACAGGTCTGTGTTCTTCCTTCCTTTATTCAGCTGCCTTCTGGGCAAGGGGTGGGGATGTCTTTGTGCCAAACTCAAGGGACCTTTCTGAAAATCTTCATCCCCCAGCCCTAACCCCTGTGTACTTTCTCCACCATCTCCCCAGAGGCCACCAACTGAGTTTCAGGCATGTAGTAAACTACATTCTTTCCAAGACGGGCATTCAGGTTTTATTTCTAACTACAACACCTCAGACTGAGGAATGGGTTGCTGATACAGCTTTGGAAAAATATTTGCATTAATGCACGGTTTGATTCCCAAAACAAAACACAAAAACACCCTAGCCATAAAGTCATTTCATTAAGTTTAAACCGGTGCACATGGAAAAACATGTTTTACAAAGAGATGGAGGCCAGGCAGTTCACTGTGCACGATGCTGGTGCTCCTATTTTCTGCTGTCAAATGCTTTGTGGGGCCTAGATAATGACCCCTATTTCTGGTAAGGGACAAACACTAGGCCAGAGCATAGGCCCAGATCAAATTCTTGGATCTCTAGGAACTCCTAGTTGTTGGAGGCCCAGACTACCCTAGGGGCAAAATGATTTTCTAACATCCTCTTCTATTCTGGAAAAATCAATTAGAAAAAACACTGTATTACCATTTGCCTAATAGGCCTAACATCTGGAGTGTTGTATTGCCTGCAAGAGGTTCAAGGCCAGATAGTGAGTCTGAGGCCACCATAGGCTTGTCTCTGAATACACAAAGGCCAGCCTAAAACATACTCTATTGCTGCCTAGCATTCATCAACTCCTGGGTTTGATCCCTGGCCCCACAAAAAGAAAATAAATGTACTCTAGCTTAAGGAAGTATGTGATGTCCCAAGGACTTGACCATTTTGTTTCAGAAACCTTCAAGACTAGCTTGCCTTACCAGCCTAAGTGGAAGGTCAGATGGCTGGGCTACTACAGAGGGTTCTGCAGGGAGTCACTGCAGGCTCACAGGCTCTGTCTCCCTGTAAGATCAGGAGCAATGAAGCAATAAAACTTTACCTCTCAGACTTACTTATTTTATTTTATGTATATGAGTATTATGTCTGCCTGCATGTCCATGCATTAACTGCATGCCTGGTGCCCAAGGAGGTCAGAAGAGAGTGTCAGATCCCTGGAATTGGAGTTATGAATGGTTGTGAGCTATGTGGGTGTTGAGAACCTGGGTCCTCTGTAAGAATGGCAAGTGGGCTGGATGGTGGCAGAACAAGCCTTTAATCCCAGTACTGGGAAGGCAGAGACAGGCAGATCTCTGTGAGTTCCAGGCCAGCCTGGTCTATAGCTATTTCCAGGACAGCCAGGGCTACATGGAAAAACTCTTTCTCAAAAACAAACAAACAAACAAACAGATAACAAAAAACCCAAAACAAAATAACAAGTGGTCTTAGCTACTGAGCCACCTCTCCTGCCCCAAGCAAATAAAAACTCTTAAAGTAGCACATAAAATTAAAATTAAATAAATGTCAAGCCAGATGTGGTTGCATACACCTGTAATCCCAGCACTTGGGAAGGTAGAGGCAGGTGGGATCCCTGTGAGTTCAAGGCCAGCCTGGTCTACAAAGTGAGTTCAGGACAGCCAAGGCTACACAGAGAAACCCTGACTCAAAAACAAAACAAACAAATGTCAATAGCATACCCCATAATAACCTTCAGTGGAAAGAGCTACCAGATCAAGGTCACAGGCACAAGTTAGACCTTATACAGATTTTTCTTTTTTTAAACATTTTTTTAAAGATTTATTTATTTATTATTTATACAGTGTTCTGCCTGCATGTGTGCATGTATACCAGGGCACCAGATCTCACTATAGATGGTTATGAGCCACCATGTGGTTGCTGGGAATTGAACTCAGGACCTTTGGAAGAACAGCCAGTGCTCTTAACCTCTGAGCCATCTCTCCAGCCCTTATACAGATTTTTCAATGGCTGGAATATACATCAAATCACATCTTAAATGTAAATGTGCCAAGGAACTCTGCAGGGCCATGAGGAAGCCAGCACGAGGTATAGTTCTGCTCAAAACTGGTCAGAACACTGAAGGTGTGCAGGCAGGTGAAGGCACCCACTGCTGTCTGCACCCCATTTGTCATTAAGGGACGGAAAGCTCTGGATGCCCCTCTGTACCTGACTTCTTAGCTGTGCTCTGCGCTCCGCCAGCACTAGGACTTCCAGGAGAGCCTGTTTTTTTACTCAGCAGACTATTGAAGAAGCTGGCCAGTACCCCTTCACTTGCTGCGTTATCTAAGGGAACACAAAGAAAAGCAATAGAGCATCATTCAAACAGAAAAAGTAGTTCTTAGCTTGAAATTAAGCATCTATGGCCATCATCCTCCTGGCTCGCTAATCAAATTCTCCGTGGTCTCTGTGAGCTAAGGCTAACTGGAGAGTGATAAGAGACCAAATTCACCATGGTCACTGTGAGCTGAGGCTAACTGGATGACGATAAGATTACCAATGGAAACATGTTTACATTCCCCACCTCTGAGGGTCACAGAAAAAATCTTTGTTTTTGTCATTTCTGTGTCCTTGGCATGGTGCTTTTCAGTTTTATAAGCCTGTAAGACTCACAGCCTGTTATGAAAAGCTCACATCCAAAGTAGATGCTCACTGAACATTAAAGAACTTACAAAATTTTGTTCTGATGGCTTACTGCTACCAATATCTTTGCCTATCAATAAGCACTGAGATAACACCTCGATGCAGCTTGGTAAAAACAAAAGGAAAGATATAGCCAATACATAAACAGTAGTAGTACAAACTTCAGGAATAAAAGGACAAATTTGAGATTCACATTGTGTAGTGACATCCTAAGCTGTGTCTTTCCCAAAGGCACCTGAAGGTTCTGCGGTCTTATACAATGCCAGGGACACATGGTTAACTCTTGCTGGAAAAACAACAGCCTAGCTTTCCTGAATTTCCACCTGACAGCCATAACTACTGTTATAGCCTGCCCTGTGGGCCTAGGACTAAAATCTTTCCCCAAGACAGTATACATACTTTTGATATTTGGATCTGGCTTCTTTACTGATGTTCCTGGGGAGGCGCTTGGCACACTAGCTGGTCCACCCCGACCCTGCGTCCTTGGGGAACCAGAGGGTCCTCTGGCAGGGGATTCCTAAATCCAAAACAAGGCCATATCACACAGAGGTATAAAAAACAACCAAGAACACACAATTCAAAATCAGCAGGTTCCTGCATGTCTGAGGTACTGTGGTGGTTTGCTCCCAGCTCAGTCCTTTTGTGTGCCTTAGTCTCTAGAGCAAAGAACTAATAGCTTACTGATTCCCAGTGTGGTCTTTCATCAGACATTTCTGAGATTCTATTGTACTTCTGGTTGTGGGCCTTTAGGGAGACCAATTTACTTTAAAATATAAAAGCACCCTCCCCCCACATAAACTCTTACAAATAACGGTGTAAAGCCAGAAGGCACCCATGACACTGGGCCATGACCCTCTGTTTGGTTTAGGTACTCACGGAGGTTCTTGTGGGCGTGGCAGGCTGCTTGGCAAGGAGTGACTGCAAAGAGAGGGACAAACTGGCCATTAACCAAGGCCTGTAACATGAACTGAAGTCTGGAAAAAGGGTTAACTCTATGACTCTACTATAGGGCGCCAATAAAGAGTCATGTTTTACACTATAAATGCAAAATAACCTAAATCCAGTATTTGGCATATGAAGACGCCCTCATAACCAGTTTTGAAGCTAAGGAAATAAGCAGGCCATAGAAAAGGGAAAGAGTTGGGAAAAAACTGCCAAGAACTAACAGGACCTGGCCAAAATCTTAGGAGATGGTGACGTGTCTAGCAACAATTTGGATCAAAGAGAAATGTTAAGACTGGTTTTATGTTCAAAACTATTATCTTAGGGGGAATCAGGGTAGATTGGGAAGTTGAGGGTAAATAAAAACATACTGTATGCATGAATTTCTTTTAAGAAGTAATAAAATACTGTATTAAAATGGTTAGTCTGGGCTGAGGATGGAACACAGTTGGTAGAGTATTTACCTAGCATGTGGAAAGCTGAATTAGATTCCCAGCAGTGCATTAAAAAAATAAAAAAATAAAAAATTACAGGCATGGCAACACATGCCTGTAATCCCAGCACTTGAGAGTTAAAGGCAAGGGGATTAGAAATTCAATGCCAACCTGGATATATGAGAACTTGTGTTTTAAAAACACAAACCAAAACCAAAATTCAGAAAACAAAAAAGCTAACAGCTTGGGAAAATTACTTGCCTCGCCTACAAAATGTATACTACCTGTATCCATCCATCCATTCATCCATCCACCCACCATCCACCCACCATCCATCCATCTATATCTATCTATCTATCTATCTATCTATCTATCTATCTATCTATCTATCTATCTATCTATCTATCTATCATCTCAAGACAGTTTCTGTGTGTAACAGCCCTGGATGTCTTGGAACTCATTCTGTAGACCAGCCTAGTCTCAAACTCACAGAGATCCACTTGCCTCTGCCTCCCAAATGCTGGGATTAAAAGCGTGCACCAGCACCTTCCAACACCTGCTTTTATACAGTGTGGGGGAAAAAAAAAATGGAAGCCAGGTCATTTGGTAAATTGCCAATTCAAGAAGGCAAAACATCTTTTCACATTAAAACAGACTAAGCCCATCCCTGCAGGATGGTGTGCAACGTAAGCAGGTATCTAGAGGCAGGTGCTCCAATCCCTCCCCAATAGGAAAAGAAGGGAATGAGGAGACCTTGTCTTAACTTCCATGCCTCTGCAAGTTCTCCAACACACACAGCCCCAAATCCTCCTCCAGAATGGCATTCCATGCAAGAGAAGGGCATTTCTCCTACCTGCTGTTTCATCAGGAACACCTGCTCGTCCTCTGCTGCCAACTCTTTGTCATGAACCAGCTGTGAAATGACACGTTTGTGACCACAAGCAACACCAACTCTCAAATGACTGTCAAAATTCACACTACAAGCATCTTAGTCTGGGCGTCCACATGGATTTATGGGAATCCTTCTTGAGACTATAGTTACATTTTTCTAATCAGGTACAAACCCTCTCCCAGAACTAGCCATGGTATGCAGCCACTTCATGTTTTTAAGTCCGGCAGGTCCTAAACCTCCCAGACCATGGTGTTCAGGCAGGAGATCCCAGAGGGAGGGGATCTGGCAAAAATAATTCAGAAGTGGTGGTAGCACTGTTGAGACATTATAGGAAATATGACCACAGTTGACATGGCCATACCATCACTCACACTTCATACTGTGAGCATTTCTGTCACACCAGATCTCATTTTTGTGACTTAAGAACACCTACATAAGGCCTTCAAAGGGACTGACTAAAAGTACCTTTCTCACAGGAGGCTTTACAATAAAATCTTCATATGCATCTTCTGGCTTCACGGTTGTAAAATTTTCATGTAAAATAGCTATTTTCTTCTCATTGTCCCAGCCTGCAGGTCTAAAGGCAAAGAGGCACACATTAGTTTGCTTTGTCTGAGACTGCCTTCCCACATATATCTGAAACACATTTCCGGCTATAAGATACTCCTGGGTGAGGTCCTTTCCTACAACCTAGAGGTGTTGTTAGTATCTTGTAGCTTTGGATGCCTAAGCAAAAATGTACAGCAGGCATATCCTATCAGATCAATGTGACAGACACATCCTGCTCCAGGAACTCAGGGATGCTAGGTCTAACAAGCCCATGTGAGACACTGCCTCAGTGGAAGGGCACAGCAGGACCCTGCTTAGACCAACAATGCACAAAGACGAGAGGTCTAGAAAGGACCTTTAATCCTGGACTTGGCTCTTTTCTTGCATTCTGTCCCTCTTGAGGACACTTCTTTATAACAATTACCTTATACACAGTTCATTAATGTGCTGGCATAGAAGATGTGCCTTGAAAGCTAAGGGGGAAGCTATGGCCTATATCCACCCTGCCACCCCATGCCCCCCAACACCATAACAGACACAAGGAGGCCCTAAGTTCCTATGTGGGTGTTGCACAGCTCAATACTACAAAGCAGGAAGATATGAGATTCGATCAGGGTTCCCACTTTATACTCTTAATGGTAGCAAGCACACACTGTCCTACATGACATACTTCAGAACTCAAGAAGCTCTAGCTTAAAAAAAGAAAAAAAAAGGACAACTGACTGTTTTCACAACCCTCTCATTCGACCAATTCCAAGTCATCAGGCATATTACCAAGAGGTACCTATCCCAAACAGCCTTGCTGACTTTACTAATTCCTACACAGGCAACCTCCAACACACATAAATAGTAAAATGGGCTGGACACAGCTGAGATACTATGACCTGTGATAGCCACAAGATGTCTCTCCATTCCACACTAGCCCTAAATCCAACCAGAACCCCTGCTTCTCAGGACCACGTAATTAAGAACTACGCGATTACAAAAGCACACTACTCATTGAGTTTCTGCTTTAGTGCCTGTCTGACTGTTCTGGGTGATTCTTTAGGGTGTGAACAGTCTGAGTAAGACCCTCTTCAAACATTCAAGAGGTAACCTGTTTAGTCTCCCAGAAGCACCCGGCTCTTGTACTTCTGGCCTTTCACAGATGCCCTTGGCCCTATCCTGCCGGTCTGCCCGAGATGGAGCACTCATCTTCCAGCAGCCCAACCTTCCGGCCCCCACTCCACTAGCCCACTGCTGCCCTCCTTCCTCTTCAGCACATGTTTGTTTCTGTGCTCTAACAGGTATATCTCGTGTCTTCAGCAGAGAACCTGGGTGCTGGGGAGGTGCTGTGTAAAGCTTGCTGAATGGATGAATGTAACTGTCAAGCCCAGAGCCTCTCAGAGCTGGACGTCAATCTGCTACCATAAGACCACAGCACCATTCCATGTGTATACAGCAATATGATTCTCAACAGAGAGAAAAGACACCAACCCAGGAAAACAGGCTTGCTAAGTCTCTGGCAAGATGACCAATCCGAGAGGCTGGAAAATGCAAATGACAGGAAGTACTAAGCAGAGCTAAAGCCCACACTGACAGGGATGACAAGGATATTTAACTGAGGAGAAGTTTGCAGTCACCCCCTCAGAGGCAGCCACCAGATAGATGCTTTTACATAAGCCACTAAGAACCCCAAATTGAAATCTTTATATTCCAATTCTCTCCACAGCCAATGCTTCACCAGAGCCGACAGTTAAGTGTACAAAATGGCTTGCTTACATTGGGAAAGCGTTCTTTCAATGAAGGAATGCAGATTCTGACCGATGTACCCTAAGCCAGATGAGTCAATCAAAGGACAGAGGGAAAGCTGCACCTGTCTACCATCTGTCCCAGAGTACCCAGACCAAGCAGTCTTCAGACAGAAGCGCTGCACTGAGAGGGCACATGAATAGTGAACATACTATAAAGAGAGGGTTTAAACTCCACCACCTCCAAAGAACTCACATAAAAACTGCGTCCTTTTCCACAACTAAGGCGGGTATGGAAAAGTGGAAGCCATATGTTTTATGAACAATGTATTTATACAGCAAGTCAAGGTTTTTCTCTTCCTTCACTGAGGTGTAAATCAGGGCAGCTCCATCTATTCAATCTGCTTAAGGAAAACCAATTCATTGAGAGATAAAAACCAATTACACTTAAGCATAGCCTTTCAAGTATCAGGTGAACTGTTGTTTATCCACATACAAACTACAAAGCATGCAAGATTTAAAAACTATAAAGGAACAGGAGTGGAGAAGCCTCGATAAATGAATACTCAAAGCACACTGAAGCTGTAGTAGGACAAGGCTGTTTTTCTTTCTTAACATTTAGACTGCTGTCCATTCCTGAGGTTGCTTCCTATGAAGCAAAATCAGCAGAACAGGGCCCTCAGCGTACAGAGGCAGACAGGTTACTTCCCAGGCAGGGGCTCACAGGGATGAGGTCATCATCAAGCACACCTTCAGAGACAGGTGCCAAAAGTCTCAAAGGAAGCACCTGTCAACCATACTGCACGGTGTGGAACTAAGATACCAACTACTGCTAGATTTAAAAAGAAGACTGAAAAAGCCGCTGACACGGCATCTTTTTCCTGGGTAGCACAAAACCAGTAAGATATTGGTAATTATACCTCTCTAAGTAAGAGCAAAGTTTAGTAAGATTTCTAGGTACAATCAATGTATTGGTTAATATAATGGTCACACATCAGTTTCTCAATATGAAAGCCTATGAAGAGTAGAGCCTTAAAAAAAGGAAAAAATAAGATGGGAATGGTAGCACATGCTTATAACCCAGGCACCCAGGAAGCTGGGGCACAAGATCACAAGCTGCAGGCCAGCCTGGATGACATACTAAAACAAAACAAAACTCACAGTAATAATTAACAAAGTGACCAAAGAATACCTAAATCAGTATGTATGAAATTCCGAAATCCTAACATAGCAAAAATATAAAATAGAAAGATTATGACTTTTTTCCCAATGGCAAAAAACTACCCTGTGAGGCAGGCTTTGTGATTGAGTGAAGGTGCTTGCTGCAAGCCTGACAACCTAAATTTGACCAGAAACCCACATGATGGAAGGAGAAAACTGATTCCAAGTTTTCCTCTGACCGCTACACTCATGTGCCCCACCCCCAAATAATTAAGTGTAATGAAGAAGAAAGAAAACCAGGACTACTGTGTGTTCAGGAGGGGATCGGAAGGCACCCCCTTGGGAGGCAAGCCTGTGCTCTGGGCCCGAGAGCTTCCCAAGGATACACTGCAGGCAGAATCTCCGTAGGTGTGACTGGATGAAGTCGAAGTGCTCGTCCCTGTAATCATGTTCTTTCTCCAGTATGCTCACAGCATCACACTGCAGGAGACACAACCAAGAGGAGTGTGAGCTCTCTGCTTTTCTGCCTGCCGAAGACGGGAACAGGAATTTCTTCAGATGTAGAGAATTTCTAAAGAAAGACCTCGAAAGGGTCCAGGAATTGGGTAAAAGGAACAAGAGAATTAGTTTTCTTTCATCCAGGGCCTCAGTTCACACACAAAATACAGAAGCAATAGGGCCTAATCACCTCATAACTGTTTTCAACATCAAATGAGGTTCCATTGGGAGAGAGGCCCCTTCACTGCTGTGCACTGCACTTTCGCAGGCCTCTATCTCAAGAACAGCATGAAACCGGCAAAACCTGCAGCTGGGCAACAAGGTGGCTTTTACTAGAAATAAAGTACTTTCGAAATCCAAAATATTTTTAAAGCTACTTTCCCTTCTCTTATATAAGAGACACACTTTCTCTAAAATTAACCTTAACTTCTTTCTTTCTTTTTTCTGAGACAGGGTTTCTCTGTGTAGCCTTACCTGTACTGGACTCACTTTGTAGACCAAGCTGCCCTCGAACTCACAGAGATCCACCTGCCTCTGCCTAAACTGGGATTAAAGGCGTGCGCCACATACCTGGCTTAAGCTTAATTTCTATTTCTACTTCATTCTCTTTTCACCATCAGTCTGGACCAGATGAATGGGAGCCTTAAGAAAATCACTTTTACTTGAGTTTGCCCATGAAGTCAACAGGGCTTTCTGAACTAAGTGATGTCAAGTTTTGCAGCAGCATGACATGACAGTATGTTCTACCCTGACACATTCCATGTACCTTAATGAATCCCAAATAAGCCGGATTCTCCCTTGAGAAGAAACTTCGTCAAAGCTTCTGAAACTTTCAGATGGTGACTGCTCCCTGGCCAAAACCAGGCTCACAACTCCCTGGACGCACCTTTGTGCACACCACCAGCACCGGGATCCCCAGGTTATGAGTCAGCACACTGTCACCCAGAGGGAGCGCAACACTGTCTTCGTCCGAGCCGGAGGTCAGAGGCCCTCTTCTCTGTGGTGAACCCTGACAACCTTCTTCAGGCTCAATATAATCTTGAAAATCTTTCATAACTACAGGGGAAAAAGAGAAAAATTACATGGATATACATAAAAATACACCTTGGGTTTAGAAAATTAAGAAAAAAAAGGGGAAGTAATAAATATAAAACAAAAACATCGGTGCATGGCAGGGGCTGCAGCTTTAGTTCAGGGACTACGCAAAACAGCAGTCCTCACATCGACCAAGCTGTGAAGTGCAACAGCAGCAGACCACCTTGACATCTTTAAATTCGCGCAAGTCCTAAAGGCTTTTAAAGTTCTGTTCTTAGGTATAGTACTGTGGCAGCTCAAACTTGAGATTTTTCCATGTGCCAGGCAAGCAGTCTATCACGGAGCCCCAGCCCAAGTTTTTAAAGTTCTTACGTTCCGCACTAGTTCCTAATATAAAAATCACCAAAAGTAAAACAAAACAAAGAATGCCACACTCACCAGTAATTCTTTCACATATCCTACTTTTTTCACAGGACCAGAGAGCCGCACCATTACTTCATTCTAGCTGACCATGAGAAATCACAGTAACACAACTTGTCATGGTCTTCATTAGAAAGGCTTACAAATGCCTATACTCTGAATTCCAGAAGAGCATGCCCATGCCGCTTCCATACAGTAGAGGCAAGCAAAGACCATGTGACTGCCCAGCACCAGCCACAGTCCATCCCTGTCTTCAAGGGACTTGACTTACACATATAGTGTGCATAGCCTATCTGTGCCTAATACAACAGTAGCAACACATCTGTGTCTTGGCACATGTATTTGTTATCTTGGGAGTATTTGTTATGGGAGCCTGAGGGAGCTAGCGCAATGGCTAAGGTAACTGATCTGGCAGAGGACTCAGCTTCCATTCTAACTCCCAGGTGGAAACTCACAACCATCTGTAAGTCCAGTTTCAGGGAATCCAATACCCCCTTCTGTCCTCTGTGAGCACTAGGCACGGATGCAGCACATACAAACGTGCAAGTAGGGCACTTATAAAACAAATAATCTTTACAAAAAGAAAATGAGCTCTTAGGTAGAGTTGTCAAGAGCTGTATTAATGCCAAGTGAACATGAGGCCGGCAGACCAGAATGTGTGCATGAGCACTTCAAGGTTCGAATGATGGGTTTTGTCTTGTTTTGCTTTGTATTTAAAGAGTCTTACCATGTATCCCTGGCTGGCCTGGAACTCAACATGAATTTGCAGTCATTGCCCCGCCCCTTCCCCTGCTCCTGAGTGTTAGGATCATAGCTGTAAGCCACTAGACCTAGATTTTCACATGATGGGTAAAGCCCCTCCAGGCTTTTTTTTTTTTTAAGGAACAAATAGATAGCTCTATTTTACCTAATAAACACAACAGGACTAAATAAGGCTTAAGGCCTTTTATTATACTTTAAAAACCATGCAACATAAATATTATTAAAAGTATTGGAAGGAAAGGGCAAATGACTGGAGATATGAGTTAATGGTTAAGAGTACCGACCGCTCTTCTGGAGGATCCAGGTTTGAAGCCCAGCACCCACATAACAACTGTCTGTAACTCTAGTTCCAAAGGACCTGACCCTCTTCTGTCTCCATGGACACCACACACATATGGTGCACAGACATACATGGAAGCAGAACACCCCCACACACAAATCAATCAACCTGTCAATCAAGAAAAAGATGCATATTCTTCTCTACACCCACAGAACAGATTTCAAACATTTTTAAACACAGAGAGATTCAGTTTATTATTGTATGTGCTCCTAAAATGACCGAGGAGTTCTCATGCTATACCAGTAAACTAAAAGCTAATCAACTGTGATGGTTTGGATATGCAGGTCCCCAAAAGATTCATGTGTTGAAGGTTCCCAGCTGGTGGTACTTTTGAGAGGTGACTAGATTGAGAAGGCATTAATTTTATTAATGGATTAATTAATGCATAATTTCACAGCTGAACAAGCCATTGGGGGTAGACTCATATAAAAAAAGTAGGTTACTAAGGGTGTGCCTCTGAAGGATACACTGTGGCTTGCTGTCATTTTCCCCTCTCCTTTCCCCACATCCCTTGCCATGTGTGTGTATTCTTATGTGGCCTAGGCTGGCCTCAAACTCACTATGTAGCTGAGGATGCCCTTGAACTTCTGATTGTCCTGCCTCTACCTCCCTAGTGCTGGGATCACAAGCATGAGCTACCATGCCCAGTTTACGCAGAGCTGAACCTAGGGCTTCATACATGCTCTCTCCTCTATCAACTGAGCTACATCCTCAGCCCTCTTTTTCTTTCTGTTCCCCATCCACCAACAGGTGAGCAACTCTTCTCCACCAAAGCAACAGAGTGAGCCACCAGTACATGCAACCTCTGAAATCATAGCTAGATAAACCCTTGTGTGTGTGTGTGCATACAAGTCCTTGAGAGTGGAGCCAAAGTCAGTACTAGGTGTCTTAATTGTTCTTCACCTTCTTCTTTGAGATGGGGTCTCTCACTGAACCTGGCCTTCAGTTTAGCTTGACTGGCTGGCCTCAGGACCTTCCTATCTCCTCCCAAGAGCTAGGATTAGAGTTGTGTGCTGCCACACCTAGCTCTCACATGGGTACTGAGGACTGAACTCCGGTGCTCATGCTTTACAGACTCAGAAACCTCTCTACCCCTTCCTTTGTTCCTTCAAGTATTCTCCCACAAAGGCTGAGACTGACACAATGCACTAAGCACACTCCTGAAACTTCAGTCAACATAAAGAAATCTACCAAGGTAATCTCTACTCCAGGTTGTACATAACCAGAAAATTTGATGTTAAAGGAGCTTAAAGGAATTAAAGATTCCTTTACTAGTCAAATCAAGGAAATATGCAGTGGATAACTGTATGGGTGAGATCTAATTGCTCAAGAACACATTTGTCCAGGGCTTCCCCAAAAGGGAGCAGGGCAGAGGCAGGAGCAAGACACAGGTGAGCTAAACTACCAGGGGAAGGGAGGTGGGTGGAGCAGCCAGATCACCTATTCCAGGAGCCTTCCAGCTGTGTTGTGCATACGCCACATGTCAAAGTAGCTTTAAGTCCTGAGGAAAACTAATTACCCTAAATCAGTGTTTCTCAGTGCTTTGTCCCTTTAATACATCTCTTGCTACAGTGATCCTCAACCATAAAATTATTTTTGCTACTTTATAACTAATTTTGCAGTTATGAATCATAATGGAAACATTTGATATGCAGGATGTCTGATATGCGACCTCTGTGAAAGGGCCAGTCAACTCCTAAAGGGGTCAAGACCCACAGGATGGTCTCTGTAAGTTCCACACTAGCCCAATCTACACAGTGAATCCCAGGAGAGCCAGAACTACACAGAGACTGTACATTAAAAAATAAATAAATGAATCACTTAGATCACACACCTCTGGGTGTGCCTGCAAGGGTGTTTCCGTAATGGTTTATGGTTTATTTATGCCACCCCACAGTTCCTCTCCTAGACTAAAATTTAAAAAAAGAGACAGTCAGCTAGACACTAGTATTTTCATCTGCTTCCTGACTGCAAATGTACTGAGACCAACAACAGCCTTAAGTCCCTGCTCCCATGCTTTCCTTAAACAGCCAAAACCAAACCAAACCAAAAAGTCCTTCACACTGTCTTTGTCCAGGTGTTAAAGCAACAAGGATAACTGGTATACCATATATATATATATATATATATATATATATATATATATATATATATATATATATATATATATAT